TCAAGTCAATATTAGAAAAATCATATCTGCCTATTAAACTTTCACAATAACAATCGTCTCGCCGCTTAATTCTGTTAGCCCTTTCCAGAGTTTTTTTTAATATAATTATTATTTTCTTATTAAACCAAAATTGATTGAAAAAAACATGTTAAGAAGGATTCGAGAAAGACAAAAATCTATATAGCTGTTTTATAATTGGATCTAAAACGGTCAAAGATTTGAAACGCGGTTCTGAGCTGTCGCCGGTATATACGCACATACTTAATATATATTCTTTAAAAGATTCATGGAGAATAGAAACAATTTAATTATGTCTTACTTCCTTCTTATCTCTTTCTCTCTTTCTCTCTATTCTTCCAACGTAATTACGGGTGGTCATTAAACCGCCGCAATTTTCTTAATGCAATCTAAAGAAAGTAGATCGGAAGAAAAGCGGTCTGAATAGGAAAGTAGATCAAGAAAGTCGTGAAAGAGCTGCTTTAACGTATTTATCTGAGGGATTTGGCGGAAGTGAGTTTTAAAAATTGCAAAAGAAATTTTATCGGAATGAAATATGATTAACGTTAATGCATCGAAGACATCGATCAATATATAGAAAAAAGTATAGTAGTAATAATTTAAAAAAAAATGTAAGTTATTTATTTCAAGATAAATTAAAAATACTCGTGTTGCCTTCTTATAATCTAAATATAAAATTGAAATTTATTATCTCTTCATATACATTTTAACATTAGTTAAGATATATATATATAAAATGCATAATTCTATGATGGCATAGGTTACAAAAATGTCTACTATCAGTCTATTCTTTTTCTGAAATGTTGTAAATAATTTTCCAGCAATTATACGTACATTTTTCCTTTCCTACGTTAATTAGAAAATATATAATCAGTCTTCAATTTATATACAAAAACAAAGTTATATTCTCTTTTTAGTTAATATAACAATATATTATAGAAATATTGATATCTCTATTCGAATTACTAACTTTTAATATATTCTACAATATAAAAAAGACCGTTTTTTTTATTTTAATAGAAATATTTGCTCATAACGTCATAACACACATATTACTTTAAATATTTGTTTAACGCGTTCTTATACGAATATTCACATCTCTACTAAACAAAGTTAATTGTAGAAAATATATGTTTGAGCTTTTCATGTTCAGTCGCGTAGAAAATGTATGCACTTTATATTTTCATTGTAATAATATATCAAAATTACATTTTTTAGAAGATATGGGATTATTCATGTGTTTCATTTTCTTCGGTGTAGTACATGGAATCCAAAAAACATCTTGTAAAATCGCCGACCACACTTCGGTCCGGGATGCTTTGACTCATTCCGTACATTGCAAGCTGAAAAATATCACATAACAATTGGTATTTTGAAACGTAAATCTATTTATAAATTTTCATTTTGCTGTTTTTACCTTTCCTTCCACTGGAGTACTTCGGCTTTGCATAATAATTTCCAGTTCCGTCTTAACATCCTCTAAAAATTCATCGGCAACTCCTGGCTCAGTATGTACATGTGTAATACAAATGTGTATACCGCTAGGGAATTGTAGGGTATTCAAATTCCATCCCTTGCCACTGAGAGCTTCTGATAGTCTGTAGATGTGAAAATTATTGGAACCGATTGCAATGACAGATGTTGCTGGTGTGCCAAACACAAAAATTCCATTCATTTCCCTCAACCTACAAATCAATTCAATTTTTAAAATTTATATCATTAATATTTTAAATCGATGTAAATGTATCTTTGAGAATGCTTACTTTCGTTCGATATATCTGGTAGTTTCAATGATTTTTTTAGTGGATTTCACATATTCGTCGTGTCCATAGAACATTAATGTCGACCAGCAAGTGGCTATAATACCACCGGCTCGAGAGCCACTGATGGTTGGTGACCCGTAAATACCTCCGGGCCAATTCGTTGTTACGCAGTACTGATAATGTCGGTATTCCTTGTTTCGATAAAGGATCAACGAAGATCCTTTCGGAGCATATCCGTACTGAAAAAAGACATTACGTATGGTCTACATGCTTCAAGCAACATGTGTAAACTTATATATCATATAAATGTCAGATAAATACCTTATGGGTGTCAGCCGATATGCTGGTCACGCCGGGAAGCCTGAAGTCAAAGGGTGGTAAAGGAAAACCAGCATCAGACATAAAACATGCTAGAAAACCGCCTAGACAGGCATCCACATGAACGGGTATACCGTACTTTACCCCTAATTTAGATATTGCCTCAATATTGTCCAAAGTTCCGTAAGGAAAGTTTGGCGCCGAGCCTACTAACATGATTGTATTATTTGTAATTGACTTTTTCATAGTTTTGATGCAAACTGTAAAACTGTGCTGATTGACAGGTACGGAACGTATTTTTATGTTTAAGTATTGCGCGGCTTTGTCAAATGCTGCATGAGCGGTAACTGGCAGAACTATCTCTGGTTTTCTGATGCCCCTGACTTCACGAGCATAATCCCTGTATGCTTTACACGCTAATAAAATTGACTCCGTACCTCCGGTGGTCATCTAAAAATCATGGAGTAACTTAACATGTTGCATCTTAATACTTAATTTATATAATTCTGTATAAATTATAGAAAATAATAGAGAAGCTACTTGCAGTTCCACAAGATGCTTTGTCTCCATTAAACAAGTGGCAGGCAATCCTGACTACTTCTGCCTCCATTTTACAAATGCCGGGGAATACATCAGGATGAAGTGGATTTGTATAAGATGCCAAAGCGTATACCTCGCCCATTAACTCCGCAAGTTCGCTGTTAGTTCTATAAACTGCACCTGATACACGACCTCCTTTCCAATCGTAGTCACCTAATAGAAAAGGAGCGAAAGTCAAATTACAATACAAAAATTTCTAGCAAGGCAATGGCAAAGTTAATTAGTCTTACCCAGATGAATAAACTCATTTATTAAGTTCTTGATGTTCTCATTTTTCAATCCACTTTTGGGAAGCTGCACAATAAACTTAGCGTCCTTGAGTCTGCGTATGACATCCTTTTCGAAGTTTTCATTAATATCACCTAACTCTTTACTTATCCTGTCTCGCACCGAGGGAATATAACGAGCTAGTCTGAACAGCTGTTTCTTGCCACGTTCTAAAAGGCCTGTGCAACATACGTGTTCTGATAACAATAACTTTGATAAAAATAACTTTATCGAAAAAGAACTAATAACAATATAGTATAATTATTATGATTGACTTATATATGGAAAAATACCTTCAATACTGCAATACTTACTCTCATCCTGATAGATGAAATTCCACAGCCACACTGTAGCGAGGGTGGCTGTACTCGTCATAGCTGCTATTTGCCATGGTTCTTTGTTTTGAAACAAATTGTTTATGGACCCCGGTATGGTACTCACATAGCAGTGCATATTTGTCTAAAAACAATGCGTCATTAAATGCATGTTAAATGCGACACACGTTGACGCTTTATAAAACCGTATCGCTGTAAACGCGCGTTGACCGAAACGCCTATTAAGTACATCAAGCCAGGCTATTATGAAGGCTATTATGAATGAACGTGAAGACCTTGAACTTGGTTAAGCATCCATGACTGGGGCTCGCTTAAATAATTTCACGCTCACCTGAATTTCTGTTTTTCGGCTGGCTGTTAGCGGCGCGGATACTCCGTAATTTGGAGTATGGAGTGTAGAAATGATCAAATGGAATGACTCGGCGTTTTCCACGTATGTACACCCGAGATAACGCAGTCCGCAGCAACGATGCGCACCACCGGCGAGATATCGAGGGACACGGTAGAGTCTCGAGCCAATCGTATCTTCCGAACGTCAACACCGAGCAGGCGCTGCATGAGGCACTGCTGAGTGCTGATCTTTTCCGAGAGTCCACGCTTGAAAGACCCGTCACGCGCTAACGCCCTCTCGGCAAATAATGCGGTTGCGACGAGAAAGAGAGACGAGAGACAGAGAGAAAGAGAAGGAGAGAAAGAGAGGAGCGATTTTTAAATAGATATACTGCTGGAGAGGGAAAAACAGGCTGTTTATGCGGAAGAGAGAAAAAGGTCATAAATGATGGATCCCGCGACATATTGCAAAATTGACACCTTTTTACATTGATGTCAAATCGGAATAAATAGCTTCCGAAATAGCCGCGTGCGATGACACAGCATTTATACTAAAATCTCCGTTTATCGGACTTTTACTTTATCTTCACGATTTCTTCGTAAATAAGGCTCGCGATCATAAGTGCCCCTATCGTCGGAGATAGTATAATCGGTCAAAGTCGTCCCGAGTCTTCCACAACGATTAATTTATCGGACAGTTAAGTCTGTCAAAAATTTTGCAAGATGTTTTGTCTATAAATTTTGTTGGCAAAATGCTAGCGGAAATATAACAGAATTTATTAACAGAATATGCGGTGGTAGATTGATTGCAAAAACCAAGTAGAATTTGTCATTTTGTAACCATTTAAATTATATATGCATTCGTGCATTTAAACAGTTACGAAATGACAAATTTTGCTCGGTTTTCGCTGGCAATTTACTGTCAAATTATGTTGGCAGGTTCTGCTGGCAGAAGAGAGCTTAATGCGGGCGTAGTTGGTGCCAATTTATCGCAGTATTCCGCTTGAATTTTCTGTGTTTCAAAGTGCCAACATTTTGCTTACTGGATTATCGAGAAATATGTACTTTACGTAGATAGAATAATTAATTCTTTTGTTGTTCGACACATGAAAAGAAAGATTAGATTAGGAACTAGTAGTTAGAAATTTTGCAGAATTAGTTTCTTAACGTCAGCAATATTTTGCTGATAGAATGAAATTGTCAATTTTTCGTTGCTTAACACATGGGTATAAAGATCGGGTTAGAGACGTGTAGTCAAAGTTTTGCTAGAAGCAATCATTGAATTAATCATCGATTAATCAATAGTTGATCAAAGTTCGGTCCTTATTTAACAGCAGGAAGTGTGTCATGCACGTTTACGCGTGGTAATTTTTTCCTTTATTTACAAATAGTCGATAATCGTATAATGTACTCGGTAACAAAATTACATTGCACATATACAGAATTATCGTTAGCACTAAGGCAAGAACTGAATTAACAATATGTATCGCGTTCGTACGAGAGAACCCGTCCCAATCGGACACAGTGTATGTGTGTGTGTATGGAATCGTCTCCTTAAGATATACTCAGTCGTGAAATTTACATGACAACGTTCTTCATCTTTCTTTTCTTAAGCACAATTTTAATTATTACATCGATAAAAGAGAGAAATGAAGCACGTCCAACGTAAAAGGAGAAGAGGGTCCAACGTATCTGAATTAAGCTAGAGGAGCCTAGGCCGAACAGTTTGCAGCTCAGTCACGTGTTAAGTATCTGCCCCGCGGAGAGTGGGCGAGACAAAATTGAAATTGGAAATTGGGTCCATTTCGCGCAAATCCCGATCCTCTTTTTTTCCCTTCGCTCTTTATTGTAACTTGAGGAAACGTGGCGCGGCTTAAACGTAGAGTACGCGCGGAAATAACAACGAACTCTCGAGCCGAGACGAGAGATACGGGCCGTTACATCATCGTTCGCTGGAACTCGAATTGTTAATCATTGCGCGTCGAATAGGCGGTTTCGCGTCAAATGCAAATATAGGCACTCTATTTATCGGTGTTGAAAGCGTCGCGCGATTTTACGATGCGCTAAAGTCCCTCGAGGATTTACAAAAAAAGGAATCGCGCATAATTTCGTCACGCTTTATACGTGCAGACAATCACAGCGTCGATTATTCGACTAGAAAAGTGTTCTCGTTATCGTAAGGCGAATTCAGGCTGAGCGAGGAACGGGAACGAGTGTAAGAAAACGAATTTACTTGGATGACGCCGCGAAGAAGCCCAAATTTATATTAACGGATATGTCTATTCCGAGTCTTATCCCGTAAAAAAAATCCTCGTTACGCTCGTCGCGAATATTTCTTTTGGACCGTTTAATTTTTCCAGCTCGGTCTGAATCCACCTTGATGATGAGATTTACGCGACACGCGTGTTTTTATGCGAATTCGATTACACGCTTCAAATAATCGTAAACGTGCACACGCGATAATTTATATACCTTAACCTTCACTCGCGATTGCTTAAATTCGCATAAAACCGCTGCTCATGCATATTTGAGGAACGCCGCTCGGAGAGGCCTCGATATGACATAACGTAATGTTCCGTTTATTACTCGCGTGACTCAAGTTTGCTTTGCTCGGCTGAGGATGCAACATTCTCGCGCAACGCAATATGTTCGATCGGATGGCGGAACGAGATGCTAAAATCGAAATGTGATGTAGCGCGAAAATGGTTCGGAATTATTTAATACCAGTCGTGCGCGCGTTCCAACTTCTGTTCCCCGGTTGCAGGATCGTTTCTCGTCCCGATCAGGGATTACTAGGATCGATAACTTCTCTGTTTCTTTTTTTTTTTAGAGAGAGAAAGAGAGAGAAAAATATTTCCATGTTGCGTCATTCGTATATATAAAACTCTAATCAGATAAAGATAAACTTTTCCCGGCGGGTATATCGCGCACTCGCCAATGAAAGAGAGATCTGCAAGTAGAATACAAAATCCTTCGTGCTGTCATTTCATACTGATACGAAGAACTCGCGAACCCGTGCCGGTCGACCCGGCAGCGCTCCATTCAATATCGGAAATCACGCAATTTCCGAAAGTGTCATTCCAATAGTCTACACCTTAATAGACTCGATTGAATGCGAGTCACTTGCGTTGTTGCACGAGTTCGCAATTTGCGTTCGCGGCATTTACATTAAAGTAGTCCTCGACGCGTTACGATTACTTGCTGTGACTTACGAACGGGAGTTAAGAATAATAGTAAGGGCGACTAGAAAAAACGTATTAATCGTACGACCTACCGTTCTGTACTTCGACGATTAGTTGCGAATAACCTGGCGAGAATGATTCTACAAAAGGCTGTTCTAATATCGCTCGTGAGAGTGAGGCGTCACGAATACGAAGGTACGAATGCAGCATGAATTCGAGACGCGTGACTCCGGTGCAGAGTGGGACTGATAATTTGGTAATGAGATACCAGGATGCCCGAATAATTAAAAACGTGCGGAGTATTCTGAGTACTCGAGAGTTATCCATACATTTCGGATAGTAAGCAGATGCTCGAGTACTCGAGTACGTTGTGGGTATTTGAGCACGTGGATACTTATACTTGTACTGGATACTCAAATATTTTGATATCATTAATATAAAGGCATTTGAAGATAGTCTTAAACTGCCTGCGGATTTGCATTCGAAAAACAGATAAGAGAACCTAAGTCTCCGAATTGCGCGATTCTGAAATTCAGTTACGGCGATTTCGCATTACTCCCTCGATGATCTGTGTATGCTGGTGCATATAGCAATGGAGGAAGAGAGTAATGTGATCTGCCGCTGCACATTGTCTATAAAATATTACGTCCTTTTCGGACGCCCCTCTCGTCGCTCGGAGCTTGACGTGGCGTATTTTTCGCTGGTAGCAGCACTTTGTACATACCTAATAGGCCTGATATCGATCGCGTTCGCAATATGGAACCGACGAAGTGAGCACCACGGTGATCATGCGACTAGGATTAAGTATTACAGGCGACGTTTATCTCGCTGCATGTACACTCGCATATACACGTGCATACTTTCGCTCTGACCTTTCGATCCCTCTCCTTAGGATTAGTCTGTCCTGTTTATCATTAATGGCGAAGACCACATTACAGGCCGGACGTCAAATGTTACGTTACTATCGTTACTCTTATTATTGTTATTATTATTAATATTATTATCATTATCGTTACTATTATTATCGTTATTTCCACCATACGCGTTAAGAAACATTTAATTGAACAACATGAAACTGTCGCCCGCACGTGCGAGTCTGTCAATATATAGTATATATGTATATAAAATTCGAATACACACCCGGCGGACCGCAAAAATGAACGAGGTGAACCTTTAACAGCGTCACTAGACTCCAACGTGGTCGCATAAACTATACAAAATGAGCGCTCGAAGTTGGGGGAAACGAAATATTTTGGACGGTACGACGAAGAAGCGTTCAACGAAACGTTACATAGCTGCCGCAAAATCTTTGTGTTCCACTCAAATTCAAATCGCTCGCAACTGCATTCGCGAATTAGCGTATATCCCATTAGCTCATTGCACATTTGCCCACTTCAGCAAACGCCAGCGATTTCCGGCTACACGATCCTTTCCGCCGCGGTAGACACGCAGTTTTAAAAAATTACGCGAGTCGGTCAAGCCGATTATCGTCAAAAAATATTCACCGATTCTCACTGGACAATTCTGGTGAACGAAGTCTCGTGCGATTCCGACGACCAAAAATCTGACGAACTTTCATTCCTATACTCTATTAAGGATCGAACTTTTCCGATTCCTCCTCCGACTCTTAAATGCACCGCGCCTTCAAATGCAGGCATCTTGCAGCTTCTTATCCATTTTCACCGTATAATTTAGACGTGTTGGAGAGCGACAGTTACTTAAGCCGTTGCGTGACATTCGCCAGGGCGACGGCGAACGCCTGCAAAGCGCTGAACGGGTATTGGAAATCCAACGTATACGCGTTGCCGTCTATTCTTCCGAATTGCATCACCTGAAAAATTTGACGATATTTCACGCATACGATTTAACTTGCGGATTTAACGTGAGAAGACGCGTTTGATCCTACCTGTCTGCCCCTGAATTCGATTTGAAAATTCTTGGCGCTTTCTTGAGTCACTCTGCCGCCGAAATCAAGCTGATACACTTGACTGGACTCGTTCCACATGGGCGCTTTGTTGTGCATCACCAATTGTGCATCGCGCCTTATCGCTTCCGGCTTGGAACCAGAAATTCCCATTCCTCTCTGCTTGAGCTGCAAACAACATCTGTCGATATCGTTTCCACGCGTTTTTTTACGTGCAGTGTGCGTATTTATCGAATATATTCTTTCTTGAAAATGTTTGCTATACAGACCTTCTGACGTAGTTGGGCTTTCTGGAACGTTTCTAGGTCCCGGTAACTCGCCGTCGATGAATCGTCTTGAAGGAGCCCTTCTTCGTCCGAGCTCTCGCCGCGACTCTTTCTCATTCTTCTGTTCAGCAATGGACTTGACAAGAGTCTTCTTCGAATCGGAGAGGCCGACGCCGGTCTTTTGCCTTTCTTAGACGGTGCTGGACTGCTAGGTGAACTCCTCGGCAATCTGTGGAGATAAATGAATTATTATCTGCATCACGCACAGCCAATAATAAATATAATACACTACCTTGATGATGGTCGAGGGGAAGGCGGTGGCAAAGAATGATTATCCTCGAAATCGCGAAGTCTCGCGGCGAGACCGTCGAGCGAGGAAGCGAAGGATCCACTCGGGCTCGATCCTCTGAAATGTAATCTTTTTACTTGGGACTGCTCGGAAGGTTTCTCCTGTTGATATAATAATCTGTTTTTGTATTAACTACTTACTTGACGGGAGATGCAGCAGCCTCTAATCGGCCTGGCTTTTCCCTAGTCTGAGCTTCACGAGCGACGTTACTTTCGTTACTTTCCTCGCGTTTATCGGGAATCTCACGCGTCTCATCTTTCGGCGATTCTGTCGATTCGTTGCGCTCCGCCACGCCATCCTCGGTAACTTCGGAATTGATTAGTCCCGTTGCCTCCTCCACGTGTTCCGGCAATTGCGGCGGCGAGGATATCTGTTCGTTACTCGGAAATATATCGCTGGAATCGAGACTCTTGGACTTGCCGCAGTTGCGGAGCCTGGGCGGCTTCGAGCTCGGCTGACTCACGTCGTGCTGGGGCTTGGCCCTTTTCCGCCGTTTCGCCTTCCGCGACACCAACACCAGCCTTTTGTTAGGCGCGTCTCTGCGCAGCATTCGCAAGGCCACGTCGCACGGGACTAATTGGGCGTCCACCAGGTCCAGGTATCCGACGCTGCAGCTTCGAACTATCGAGTCGTTCGCGCACATTGGACCGATGCTGATGACCGTTGAAGTTCTATGAACGCCCCGTGACTGCTCCGGCGCCTCTATATCGCCGCGTGCCTCATCGTCGCTGAATCTCATCAAATCATCGTCGAGCTTAACGTTAGCGGGAGTTCCGGCGTTCGCGTAACCGGGATTTATCTTTCCGTAGCACACGTGGCACTTGGGGTCTTTATGCTTTGAGAAACACTGCGAACACGACGACCCAAAGCACTGATCGATATTCTCCGGGAACTGATAGGAACACGCCGGCGAAACAACTCCGTGTATGCCGTTCTTGTTAAGAGCTAGACTCGAGGCTTGCCCGAGTTGAGAGCTATTTGAAGACGTCGTATTGACGCTCGCCGTACTCGACCCGGTATTTTGATTATTCTTATTATGTACAAAACTATGAGCGCTCGGCGACATCGTGGTTTGGACGCCGCTGACGGGGTGCGGCGTGGTTAAAACGTTGCTCGTGCACCCCATATTATTTAGACCATTTAGATATACGGTTTGCGCCGAGGCGCTATCGATGCTCTCCAGACCGTTCAAAACCGGGCTTTGAGAGATGTATCGACTGCTCGACGCCTCCGCGTTCAAGGCCTGACCGTTTTGCATGGACACGGAAATGATGTTCGTCGCGCAGGCCGACGTCAGGCACGGTTTGTCGTCCTGCGAGATTTGATTGAGCTTATTGTTCTCCAGTTCCTTCTTCGTCGCCATGCCCGCTTGCTGATCCGCGAGGGCGTTCTTCATCCTCTGAATGCTGCTGGCGTAGTCGGCACCCGCGTTCGAGGTCGCTATTAACGTTTGCGTGGGCGCCACCGCGTTTTTCGGCGATTGCAAGGCCGGCACGTCGCAGCATCTCGGCGGGTTGTGCCTCGGCGGCGTCCGATAGGTGTTCGTAGGGGCGTTCCTGATGTTCTCGTACAGATTACCCATGTCCTGCAGATCCACGTACGGAACGTACTCGTTTTCGTAGCTCTCGATTTTTCCCAGCGACGTCGGCAAGGTCTCCGTTGTTAGGAACTGATTCGAAATTTGAGACTTCGGTCGATTCGGGTGGTTCAATCGAGCGTTGCGAGGAGTCATCGGCGCGATCGGCGGCGGCTGCGCCTCCGGGGTGGCTCGCGAGCTTGCCTCCTGGTACGGCTCCTCCTCGTCCTCGGAGAATAGATTGGGGTTGAACGTCGGGTCTGGACCTACGTGAAAATAATCACCCGTTATTAAGCCTCTATAAGCGAAAGAAAAATTAAAGTCACGCAACCGAATGAATTATCGCAAATTACCGGAGGGCAAATCGTCCCGGAGCTCCGTCATCACGAGCGTCATTTGCCTGGGCTGCAGGTGCAGCAACGACGTTCGATATGTTACCTGACCTAGGTTAGCGGGAACCGAATCTGCCAGGCCGTGAAACTTGAATTTCGTGCCCCAGATGTTTGACGTTACCTCGACCAGCCTCGCGTGCTACGAACAGATATACACTCCGTTAGAAATAATCCACGACAAAAACCCATACAGCTGCGCCCGTTCGTCACGCGAGCGGCGTACGCTCCCTTTGATACAAAAGAGTCGTCAAAGTCTGCGCGCGGCATGCGATTCATTAGCGTCGAAAGATACGATGCTACGATTGCACATACGAGAATAAAATATTTTATACGCGAGTTCCCCTCTATAAATAGGAGGAAGAGAGAGAAAGAGGGTGATTGTATTACCTCTGGCAACGTATCCACGTATGAGAGATCGTTCGGCTTTTCCTCCCGTTCCGTCGTTTCGTCGCCCGTCCTCTCCTCCCTTCTCTTCCTGTTCTTCTTCCTGTAGCGGGGCGATCCGCACAAATCCGCGGTATCTTTCTCGGTGTCCGAGCCGTCGCTGTACGACGGGCACTGCGACATATCGTCGAACACCTGCAGAGTCTCTTGACTCTGCGGATCGAATATCACGAATTCCGGCCGGATCTTGCTGGTCCGTCTGCCTTTCAGGAGTGGCACGAGACCGCCCAAGTACTCCAGATACAGCGTGTAACATGGCACAGGCTCCACGGCGTGCCTGAGCATGGTGCAATGCAACCGGCTGCCTCCCGGCGGCGGCCTTGACACGAAGCGTCGCAACTCTCTTGGTTCCGGCACCGAGCATCTAAAAAATGCCCGGAAACGTATTTCAATGGTGTCCCGCCACTTTGAGTTAAGGAGTTTGTTAGAACTTTTCTTTTTACCGTATCGTGTTAGCGAAAAGGGCAGCCACCGAGGCTCTCAGTCGCGGCGGTAATGGAAGATGTTGAACACTTGATTCCCTCGTGAGAGCCGCTCTCACCGCCAGTCTCGACAACAATTGGAGCGAACCGACCCTTCTGCAAAGAACAATTCAACTACTTCATCGCGTTCCGGCAAGAATTGCCGACTATGATTTGTCGGTCGCGTTATATGTGTGTAAACGCGATTACGTCGAAGTAAGAAATTCAGAAATTACCTGGAGACCCATGCGGCGTGGACCCGCGCTCCGGTCGCCACGAAGAGCCGCCTGTCGTTGTGTCCCCATGTCAATGCCGATACGGGGCACTAACACGAAATCATGAAGAAAATCGTAAAATAAATCGTTTGATTATACAAAGTGTCAGCGAGATAAAGAGAAAGACGAGCGTTTTTCTATACGTGGACGTACTTGCGTGTACGGAATTTCCGTCGTGTATACGAGAGTACCGTTGACCGAATAAAACTTTAGGAGATTCGTGTACTCCTGCGAACTGCCCTGGTCCGACGACTCCTTCGTTCCGGCGATGGCCAACAGTTTCCTGGAGTTGCTCCATTCGGCGTGCAAGGGCGGCTTCAGATTGCTGCGTATCGTGATCGGCGACACGTCATCGAACGACCGTAGCATAACGATGTTGCCGTCCGCGAGGCAAACGGCAAGCACGTAATTCCGGTCATCTGCGCTTGCACATACATCATAAATGCATTAACGTGCATCACGCTGGTCCTCGTCAGGCTCGAGTCCAACCCTTTCGGAGCGAAGCTCTGAAAGCTGCGATTAATACCTTTCTGAGATCGGTCACACGTTTCGTCCTCCTCCATCGTGAACTTCTCGGCGCTCCAGGCCATCGACGTAACCCCGGCCGCTAATTGTACCTCCGACACCATAGCTCCATGAACGTCCATCACGATTAACTGGCCCGCGGTCGTCCCGAAATAGACCTTTTGTAGAACAACGTCGGGGGTGAATAAGGTCATTTTATTTCTTTCCTATCGGTCGAAGACATTTTCATCGGTGATTTTCAAGGGGCTATTAATTCGTACTGATTGTCAGTTGCTTTCGTAATGATTGAGTGTAACATCGCGACACAATCCCAAGAGTTCTGTTAGGCAGGTGGCACATTGATGTATCGTATTTCACACGCGATGTACGATTCAAACTTGATTCGCGTTATTATTTGTCACGTCATAGCCAGTGCGCGAACAACGATGTTCAGTGATAGATTTGTGTTGAACAAATAAACCTTAAGTATATTTCTCACAATTTTTTAAATACTTCTAATAAGTTAAAACGTTTCGCGAGTACATCTTTCCCGTGCCGATTATGGATCCCGTGAATTTTGGGTAAATGAAAAAAATCACGGAAAATGTTTTATAAAAACTCTTCTTTTTCAAACCTGCTGATCGTCTGGAGTCCAAATGCCGCAAGTTATCGTCGCTTTGTCGTTGAGCATTGACGACCAGTATCTTTGACCGGCGACGCTGCCGACCAACACGAAGCCATCCTGCAATAAAATATCGTATTTTCCGCAAACGATCCTCCGGAGGAAACGTGTGAGCCACATATACGAGGGTCGTAAATAAATACATGAAGTTCTAAAGTCTGAGCGCATCTTGACACATTGAATAGAATGCTTTTTTATACTGAACGATGATACATTGATAAAATAAATAAATGTTTCGCAGTCACGCGATTTTTTTATATTTTTGTTTCAATTTGAAAAAAAAAAATATGGAAACAAATTATTTTTTTTTGTTGCGTCGCAATATTGGAACGGTGATTGGAGCTCGTGTCTGAGGGGAAATCACAGTAACAAGCTGAAATAATATTGTAACTCACCCTGTAACATATAAGAGCCATGCGGCCGTCGTGGGACCAGGAGAAATGCGTAACAGGTGTGTTTCTGTCGTTGATTAATTCTATACTCCATCGTCCGTCGTATTTGATCCAGACGAAGATTACACCCGAACTGTCGCACGAGGCCAACTTTTGATAAGGTTCGTTCCATTTGACGAGTATCACCTGCAATCAGATGAATATAGAGTTAGCACCAAAATCGTTAATCTGCAGATAAAACCACAGATTACGATCAATTTTCAACAGATTACTGTCGACGCATTGCTTACAGGAATCTTCAATTTTCCAACAGTTTATTCTGTAAAGACGGTCGTGTTTCGCGCTGCCAGCTTTAATACACCGCCGTAAATTGATCTTCGGTATTTCATCCTCAGTCCGTAATTAATTTCACGGGCTCTAATCAAGAGTAAACCTAAGCCTTAATTAGTGCCAGTTTTCTCGACGAAAATTTTTCATCCTTAATCAAAATACCTCCCCGTATAATATATCTCCTCTTTTATAAATGTAAGATACAATTAACATAATTAAGAATTAGAGTTTCGGATAGAATTTTACGATTCACGCTTATACTGTTCGTTAGAGAATTCCGACTAGAAGGTGTATTCTTGTATCGTTTTAAGTGCGTGACTTCCTCGATATTAGATACCCCCGAGGATTAAAAGAGGTTTAAACCAGTCCTGCAAGAAAGGTAACCATGAGTGTTTGAAGGGATTAAGCCACTCCGTCAAGGGCGGTAATCATGACCCTCGCTTTTAAGGTTTATCTCACACTGCTAGTGGCCGGAATAAGGTCTCGCATGGGGTGAAATCGCGGATATACATGCGAGACATCCACGCGGTGTCATTGCTCCATCCCCGATCGATTGCTTTCCACTGCGTTTACGAGCTACGGCGTCTATATTTTTATCGTGCTGATACGGCAAATAGAAGTTTATCGGATAATTAATTTATGGATTGAAAATGTTAGATAACAACTCGCGTGTGCCTGTTGACAACTATTTATACTTTCGTGAATATTTCTTGCAATATTTACAACTGATCTCAATCGTATAATAAACAGACAGCCACTTTACAACACTTTTGACTTTTGCGCAGCAATTTACCGTAAATATTTTATAAGATATACGGTTTATCATACATTTTGCGATTACCTATATATATACATAACCAATTCATTTTTGGTGTTTGTTTGTCCTTCAATGATTTTTTTAAAGAAATCGTGGAATAAACTATAAACTTTTTTTTCATTTTGGATGCCTCTTCGGCCGGCATTATTTTTCTCCGGACTCCTGAAATGCACGACAGATTAATTTCCCTGTTCGTAAAGCTTTGATCGACCGTCCGGTATTGTTTGAGGGGAAAGCACGAACGGAGTCGCTGAGGGTGAGCTGCGAAAAATGAGAAGGAGGATACCGTACGTGACATGCGTGGCGACAAGTTGTACACGTGTGCACCAACCCCGCATATACATACACATGCACGCACGCGCGTGTGTATGACCGAAGGAAAGATTCGAAGAGTTATCGATACTTTTACACAGAACAACTTAAAGAACGTAAGAATTTTCCACCATGTATCGTGTTGTACAACTAAATCGCTCTATGATTGATTAATCTGAAGAATTGTCGCAAACTTTTCTTTTCTCAGAATTGTACTTTTCGTAATGTATGAAAGATAGTAGGGCTCACATGTAATAATGCCGTAATAACGCCAGAAACCATTTTTCTCAGAACAAAGTATATATATTTATATAACATCGTATAACAGCTTATAAGTCTATTATTATAAAAAATGCCGGGAGAGGATTCAATTTATATCAGTTCGAAACGTATTAGTCCCGAGGAAGGAATTTTAATAGCAAACGCTCGAGAAACTTTCCCGTCCTCTTTTGTGATTTTAAGCGAGACTCCATTACGTGGAATTTCGCCGGTGGACGAAATTGCGTTACGATAAGCTGGTCTCGCTTGATAGGGATAAACGGAATTTTCCGCGCAACGTCCTATAGATGCAATAAAATCTGTCCGAGGGTACGTTGTAAATTGCAGAGACATGATCGTGCGAGAAAGTCAGGGAATAGCGGAGATAGCGCGCGCGAGCGTGCTGATCGATAAGAACCCCGTAAGGGCGCTTCACGGATTTTCTCGTGATACCAGAATCGCACACAGGGCAATATGTCGTGGTGTGCGTCTGGTGGAGCCGTTAGAATCGAAGATCTTCACTTGTACAAATCTCCCCTTCGCGCGAGACACCCTTGCAAGACCATCAAGCTTGCACGTTTATTGCACTCTGGATTTTACTGCAAATTTCGGGCGCGAGCAGAATGGAAAGTCGGCGAAATTAGAAAGGACAGATTTACCGGGCAGCCGTGTGTACAGGACGTGGCGCACACAAATTGACGTAGTGCATCTATTTTCGGCGCTCTCCCTCATAATTATATTCCGCGATGGAGCGCACGCTGGAATTATCAGCTTTTATGCGACGCGCGCCGCGACAACCCCCGCACTTTCGTTACGTTACACCCCGGTGGGAAGTTATATTTTCCAACACACCGTACATTTTTCGCTTAACCGTTGAACATGAATAGCATCACTCTTCGCCGATCTCCTACGTCCCTCTTTGCCTACGCTTCGTGCAGCGCTTATTGCAAAGCGAGGATGCAACGGCGCGTCTGATAATCCAACGTAATTATATTTCCGAACTTGCAAAGAACGCTGAATGAGAGGTCGTCCGCGTTTCTTTTTTCCATTACGGTTCGTCGAGAGTTCTACGACCTGTAGCCCCATCGCTACAGAATATATTTCGCGTATTTTACCTTTAATTTCGACAGAACTCTAAGAACGAGGAAGATGGCGAAAGAACGTAATTAAAATCATTCGAAGGAAATGCTTTATTGCGTTTCTCGCGATGTCTTTCTTTCTTTTCGTGCAATCTTCTTATCTTCATTCCAACAGAGAACGCAAAGTCTCGCATTAACGACGTGCAATCGCGATCGTCTTCTTTATTCCGACATCGCGTATTATGCGCGCAGTATAATCCAATTTATCTTTACTGCAGAGATGTATATTAATAGAAGATGTTGAATTCCTTCGAAACATACTGCGGCTTTCCGCGCCAGGCGACTTTCGAAAGGGCAGGGGCGATCGTCACGTAATCCTTTGACTACTAATGCATTGCGGTAAAGGCTGCAGCAAGTGCCGGAGTGCGCCTCGTACGGCGAGCTCGTTTGGCAAATCAATGTGATGCTCCTTTCCGCGCTTCGTCCTTTTTTCAGTGTCAAGGTAACCCCCACGTGCCACGTATCCCGCGAGAAATCCCTCGTGCTCTTTTGGCTCAATTTCTCATCTCGTGATTTATGACGAGCCATACCGAAATTTACACTTCCCGATGCTCGCTTTCCCATTCCACGTTGCTTTATATAGTTATATACACGGAGACTCCTCGCGCCTCCGCCGAGTGATGGCCGAGTGCAAACAGAATTTTCTTCCGGACTCGTGCGCGAAGTCCTTGATCTAAGTTTAAGCGAAAATAATACGCGAGGTAATATGCTGATCTATACGAAACATATTTAACAAACGTGCAAGTGTGAAACCCTATAAATAACTATGAATGAGAAACTTTTCAGAGTTTAGCGTTTCGTTTTTCTTTAATATTTCATATCATCTTCCTACAATGCACTATTTTCCTCTCTCAAAATAATACGTGAATTTTTCATAAAGCTTCAGTAATAGAATCTGCCAATGAAGGTATTGATCCCGCGCGTTCCTGGAGTTGCAGATGCGTTATTTTAATTTGTTACATTGATCCGCATATTGCTCCCTTGATCCAACATCACGTGCCTTTCCACCACCAAATTCTGCCGGTTTAGCAGGAAGCGATCAAAGTGTATTGAGTCCGCGGAATGAATAATTTATAACGTATAATATAATATCGTCCGTTTAATATTCCACGGAGCTATCTTCCAGCACGATACGCTCGCTTTAACGGCTCTATCCGATGGACACGCGTACTTCGTATGCTTTATCCCCAAAGGATTAGCGGGTTTGCAGACTGACCCTGCCGTTATGTTTTCACTTAGGTCTCTCCGGCGTTACTTATACACGAAAGGGACTCCGACAAGGCTAATGATGTCAACGCGAGGACAAAATTTCTCTGTCGACATGAAAATTTCATCTCTATACCCTACTCGCGAATAACGAGATCTTGTGCAAGACGAATCTCTTAGCTCGGTAATAACAATAAAACTCAACTTATGCTGAACAAGTCTTGTTAGAATTATGCTACAAGTTGCCCGGCGAAGCGTATAAAGCTTCAGCCTGAATTTTTCACAAGCAAGTGACATATAAAATTTTCCTTACTTCCATACGTAAAGTCCTGGTCCTTATTTTAACTGCAGCCGCCGCGGATGATAATTAAATTACGGTCCGCAAGGGACCTAAGGAGGGAAGAAGAAGGAAAAAAAACCAGAGATTTGGAAATCAACAAATCTTGTAATTGCGCATCGGGGAAACGCGGAAATTGTGTCCGTTCGTACAAGTGACAGTTACTGTACAAGGAACACAGATATAATCGCGCTATCGATTCGAGGTCCGAACGCGGTTGGTACGGCCTAGAATAGAAATAACTGAAAATACACCCTTATCGCGAAAGTCGCCCGGAGTCCAGAGAAATATTGTTGTCCTGAATTACGTTAAGATGATTGCTTCCTTTCACCATATAATTTTGTAACGCGGGAATGATATTATCACCGAAAAAGTGCTCGCTACTTGTCTTATAAATAGCGGCCGGAGCGACTTGTGGTATATTCGAAGCGTGCCGTTTCCTATTTTTAAACAATGTTAACGTAACACGCGTTAGCGTGTGAGAGATGATGAAAAAAAATTGACGTTGCATATAAAGGGACGTCGGCAGTGGAGGAGCAGCCGCCGCGCGCGGAAAGCAGGGTTGAGAACCGCGGTCTTAAAACAGCACTGCGTGCCAGATCGATACCACGGCGGCTACCCTTAAGCTCTGAAATGTGGACCGAAGTGGACGCAAAATTCCGGGCTTTCATTGAAATTTTTCCTTTGCCGAGTCATGTGTATACACGAGCGGGTGATGTGGGAACAAAATGAGATTTCTTTTTAAACAAGTCCGTCGCTCGGCAGTCGAGCACGATCGCCAAACTGAGGCCGTCGTCGTCGAAAGTTCCGCTGTCAAGAATCTCATCAAATTGCCATCGGAGCTTCGTTAGCTCCTGACAGTGGTGAACGGGCCTCAACTCTCACGTGCGCTTCTAGTTTCTGCTGCTCGAACGTCGCAATCGACTTAATCTATTGCATAATTTAAACGCGTGTACAGCGTAAATTGACGTAACGAAATGTACTAGTATCGTTCTAATTTTGTACCACCGTCTGACCTGGTTCCCGTTGTCAAGATCGTTTCCTCGTGCGCGATCGCCTTATATACCTGCGTGCCAGCCTTACATGGACTTATTGACTAAGGCCCGTTAATCGGGGGCAAAAGGTCCGGGGGGGGGGGTCCGAGAAAGTTAACACTGACGAACACGTGAGTCGATAACGTACACACGTACACGTGTGTGCTGTGCACGCGTGCCGCTATCGTGTTCGGAGCAGGCGCCGGAGTGCTGATCTCAATTTAATTAACGCTATCGGATAAATTGCCAGCGCGCATTAACTTCAAGTGTGCCTTGCAGCTCGGTTTAAATATGTGTCATCGTACAACGAGGTCGCGCGGCACTTAAAATAATATCTAATGAACAATTAACACGAAAATTAACAGAAATTGTGTACCGTCTCCGTAAAATGATAACGGACTTGGTCTGTTGGCTCGCATTTCTCACATTTTCGGTGAGTTTTCCTCGAGTAGCAGTATACTGGTTCGAAGCGCCTTAGTCGAGAGGAATGTTTTCGCCAGACTTCCAGATATCCCAGCGGACGGGCAACGTGCGAGGGACAAATTCCTCGCGGGAATGAGTCAACGTCTCATTTGTCTCGTCACGTGGACTCGTGGAGTACACACGGGACGCTTATCCGATCCCCCCTTGTACTTCGCCCCGCTATTCCACGGAGCAACCCCTCGAACAGAAGTGGCTCGTATATTCATAAGGGACACGGGCGAGAGAAAGGTGCTCTTGCAAGCTTGAGCATGTATAGTATATCGAAGAATATACGTAGTATATGTGAACAGAGAGAGAGAGAGAGAGAGAGAGAGAAAATTATCAGAGAAAGATTTTCCAAGTTTTATTCGCGGGAAAATGATGCGAGCACTCCGAGCACTCGGAAGTCTCAATTCATCCCGCTACCAGACGGCTACCATCCTTGTATAATAATCTTCGTATCTAAGTGTGTTATGTATTATTTATGGATTTACGATGGACAGACACCATTACTCCGCGCTCTATTGTGTCCCGGCTACTTGTTAGGCGAGAACGGGGAAAGTCTGGGGAATGTTAGAATGGCGAACTTAGAAGAGGAGGAGCGAAACGCGCGGCGTAATAACGAGGAAGGCAGACGTAAACTCACGGGGAGGTGCAACCCCCGAGATTTTAAGCCGGTGATATTAATATTGGAGAAGCCGGAACGCGGCAAGTAAGCTCGCCGAGAGTTGGTCGAGCGTGTTGCAGACGTCGTTCGTGAAAACGCGCGACTTCGTAGGTTTCGGGCACCTGCAGGCAGTTTGTTAAAAGCGCACTATGGCTTAATATCGATTAAGGGCCACAAAGGACTCCCGGTTTGCTGGCGCGCGCCCGTTTACTACCGATACGGAGATTACACGAAGTTTCGGCCCAATGGAGCCGATGTTACACACAGCGGCGATATGTTGCGAAACTATTAAATCGTGTCGCCTGAAATATTAACAAACTTTGTAATTACCGTCAAGCGTGACGACAGTCTGCGGGGAAATTTGAATCAGCGACGCATTAGCAATAAATCAGGGATAAATTACTTGTGAGATGTAAACGACAATGGTTTATTGGACAGCACTGCAAATTGACGTTCATAATCCGATTGAAAGAGAGAGAGAGAGAGAGTTGTCGTTTTATTTATATGAATTGCTTGCATTTCTTTAACGATTCAATACATCGTCGGGCTCCTATCTGCCTCGCGCAATCATCCAATTTCTTTGTCGATTTAACCCACACGTTCTGCAACCGGTTACCGTGGCTCGTGTATCGAGTAGATAAAACATAATACACTGGCTGCTACTAACCGATAACCCTGCGCTTCCTTCCGTGATGTTGCAAAGCAGAATAGGATATCATTTTCGCGTTGAAAGATCCAATTTCGAGAAGCGTGAAATTATGGATTATATTTGGCGTTGTTAAGCACGTTGGTCATCATCCAGTCTATAAATTGCTACTCGGGGAGGCAAGCCGTAAAATGTATAAGATGCAAGAAATAAAAATGTTTTTATATTTTTTGGAATAAATTCTTTACAGTGATAAGGATGCTTATTAGCATCAAAATTAAAATCGACTAACGATTTAAGTATGTAGGTTTACTGTTCTAACTAGGAGCTATGTTTTAAACATCGATAAAAAATCGGCGTGTAGTTTACCGAATTTAAAAAAAAAAGTACGTAAAATTTGCACAATATTATTATTAGGCTACCAAGATTCAGTCCTGACTGTAAATGGCGTTTATATCTCTAATTGTACATCATAACGGTCCTGTTTCACTTATTATTATCAACAATTTTTGCATATTTCCATGTAAGTACCGTTTCAAACAAACGGAAATATTGCAGTGACCTCATAGTGAGGGAAGCTGTAGAAATACGCTAGTTTAAGCGGTATTGACGCTTAGGTAAGGGAAGACCCGGAGGAAGAAATTAAATGTCGGTTTCGTTCAAACGACTCGAGCGGTTCGGATGACAAGAAGTTAAAGGAAAGGCGATACTTGCTTCGCTACGGTGCCCTCGGAGGTTGTAATTCGCCCTGAGTGGAAGTTCCGCGGCTCTGGTGCGACAATGAGACGTGGTAAAAGTCACTCCCACCAAGCCGCGGGCGTTGCCGGTGGCTAACCATCCTTCTTGATAGTAATTTATACGATCGAGCTGCCATCCTTCGTCCTGGTAAATAAAATGAGAGCGTTAGTTACAGTTTCGCGGTATAGCGCGCATATTAGAAAACGTCATGCACGTGATTTATGGCGCCTCAGATTTTAGCGTGGAGATTTTTTAACGATTCCCTCAAGAGGCGGCGTCGATCGCGATAAATATCACGGTTTATCACTTCGAAATTTGTGCGGCGCATATACCGAAAAGAAAGATCTGCGACCTTTTTAAAAATACAAGAACTAAAATTGACGGCGAAATAAAGTGCCGCTTTAATTTGCAAATAAATTATCTAGCAAATAACTTATCACGCTATCAGGACATCTTCTAAGACTATTTTCTGGGCGTCGATTCATTATTCATCTTACGGAGTTTGATCATGGGGCTTAATTAGAACATGTTACGTTTGGCTAAGTATAGAAGTAAGGGATTGGTCGCCATGAATAATCAGACAGGTTAATTATCGTACGACCGGCTGCTACATCCTTCGAGGGAAGCGCAATCGTTCAACCGAAATCGAAGATGCTTACTCCGCTTACTCGAGTTCTATTACTCGACACGTAACGTTTCCACTTAAACGTGGCAGCATTAGGTAGCAAGGGTTTCAATGTTAAAAGGGTTTCACCCTCATAGGCCCATTATATATCTGTAGGCGTAATTATTCAAGACATTCGAACCCTTAAAAGACACAATATCAAAATACATGCGCGCTATATCTTGGAAAGTATCAAATTAACTTACTACTCGACACGTCAAGCTTTCTCCGCATAGAAAATCGTTACGAAAGATTCGCGCGACACGAAAATAGAATTAAGATCATATTTCTATATACTGTGTTCTAGCAGACTCCTAGATTTTGGCATAGGAAACAATCGTATGAAAACAGGAAATATTCAATTCAGATAATTTGCGTTCCCTTTGGCATTTGTCCCATCGATCGACTGATTCCCACCCCTCAAATTTACTGCAATATAAATCTAAAAAGGCGTTCGAATCAATTAACGATGCACTTTCGAATTCAGAAAAGAACACAAGAGGAAAGAGAACTTATTATTCTTTGCGAAGTATCGAAAAGAAGAATAACGTGACGTCTCAAAGAGATGTATCTCCGTAGTGTATAGTTTTCGAAACTTTCCACATGATTCTATCGAAGCTTTCAATCCACAGCGGGACAGAATCCTTCTTTCTTATCCGCGACGAAGTTTTCCTTAAAATATTGCGCGCGAGAAAACTCAGTGAGCGTAAACTTTAAGGAGTTCCATTAAAATTTTAAATTAAATTATAACGTAATCGTAATAGTTCATGGTTCATATACGCGTGTTTTGCGAAAGACACATTCTGCACGTATGCTATCTGTGCACGCACTGGGCTGGTTATAATTAAAGTACGATCTAATGAAGATGTTTTGTGAGAGAGGTAGCCTTTTGTAAGGTAGATAACAATGAGATGAAATACAAGGGTAAATTGTTAGAGCCGTGCTGTAACAAAAAATGTCTGAGAAGTTCACAATGAGTGAAGCGCGAGCAGAATAAAGCGAAATAATTCGACAGCTTATTAATGAACTCCTCGGACAGCTACAATATATCTGATATTGGAACGATGAAAGCAGGACGAAGACGCCGCGATAAAACCCCGAGACAATAGTTTTCTTCACAGTTATCTTAAAGAATTCATGTCTCGCTTGCGAATCCTCGCTGACAGCGCCTAATGTCCGAACACGATACCGATATCATTCCGTTTGCGTATGTCGGGGTTCCCCGCAAAATCGCGTCGGATTTCCGTCGTTGCGTTAGCCGGTGAGAAACGTTCCACGTGCTGTGATCGATGAGCACCGAGGGTGGTTTTTTCCTTTACTTCTTTTTTTGCGAGTCACAGAGATATGACAATAGAGGAGAGGGCATGGCGGGGGCGCAGGAAGAGAAATCAGTGGTAATCCAATCTTCACAAACACGTTGAGAGCAATCCGCGGAAAATAGAGAGGGCTCGGTGGAAATCGATGTTGCGCGAAGACGCGCCTTGTGGAACGAGCGGCGAGCCGGGATTTTTTGTGTTGTGAGTAACAGAGCACGCGTTGCGGAGTATTAGAGAAGAAGAAAGAGAGAGAGAGTGAGAGGGAGAGAGAAAGAGAGAATAGCGTAGAGTTTGCTTTCTCGAAACGCTTCGATACAATTTACCGGCGGACAATGGCCGTAGTAGTAGCGTAACGGCTCTCAATAATGACGTTATCGATTCAAATGCGATTCACAATGCGAGAATATAATGGAAACGTATGACGGCGGATTATCTCAATGTCGGGGTGTATGCAACACCGGCGGGATCCACGTTAAAAAGTTCGCATCCCAATTCTCGCGCGGGTTACAGATTTCAAGGCGGTGCCCGATCTGTCGTTCTCCAACGAGGAACCGAATTCAACTAGCTGCAGAATTTTTCCCACCGCACAATAGGGATAGCAAGAAATCCCACTTGATCGCGGCGCAAGTTGAGAATGGCCGTCCGTAGCACGCCCATCCTTTCTAATGGACCATCATTCATCTCCGCCGGCCTTTTACGGGGCCATCTAAAATTTATACTATGTAATAGCTCTCGGATATTTTCTACGAAACGGCCGTTATGTACAAACCCGGGGGTAACCGGCGTTTTATTATGAATCGCGGTGTTTCTCGCGAAGTTGAGGAGATGATCGGGTGTATACGAAGGTAGTTAACAATGAGAAAATAATGGGCAGCGCACTGATCGAATTCCCCCGGGGACGACTGACTCGAGTGACTCAATTGAATTCGCTCCGCTATAAGTCAATTATTTTTCCAGTAATTGAGCCGCCCCACTTCCACGCCGTTTTCATCGCGCTTCTTTCTGCGAGGGTCGGCTTCCGTCAAATCGCCTATCGCAGATTGATCTCCGGCAATGAATTAGACGACGTGAGGTGCGGTGTGCTCGTCGATCAAGAAATACGACCGTCGTAATTAATTCTGATCGATTGCGTCGTGTTCGGGTGTCCGAGTTCGGCAGTCAGATTAATCCCCGTTTGCGT